GTTTTAACCTAGGCTGAGTTCCACACTCTGATAATTACCTACATGTAAATAGCACTGAATTGCAGGAATAATCCGCTATTAGAAATAATTGTGTTGTGACCCAAGGTCATCACTTTTGCAAATCTCGGTGTAAAGAGAAAAATGTATGCAATAAATACAACATATGTAGAAACTGTGTAATTATTTAGGAATCAACTAAATGTACCTTAGATTGCTAAGAAACTATGTTGTGGTAGAAAGCTGAATTTTAAATCCCTTAATTGTTTTGAGTAAATAAGGATACCCTAATGGGTAAAATTGGAATTATTAAAGATCATTAGAATGGTCACATGTTTATTATCAAGAACAATTCCAGGAACAGCTAGGTAGAATTTTTAAATGATATTGGAATGTCAAATCTTAGTTACTACAATTATTTGAATTATATACCATTCACTCTCTCAACAAACATTTATTGGTTATTTATTGTATCCACAGTATTTGCTACAGTGGAATCTAAGTAAAATATAAAGAAGTGTAATAATAGGCTTTCTTTGTTGTGACTGGCAATGAGAAATTTTATGTGAGTGGCGTGAAGGCATACAACCAAATGAATGTAATTTACTGGCTGAAGTGGAATAATTATTATTGGGAAGGTAGACACAGAATTAGTGGAGAATGAGAATAATGCTTAATGCCATAGGAAGTGCTTGAGTTTTGTTTTGGAGGCATCTCGGGTTATGGAAATTTGCAGGACTGGAGAGACAGCAAAAAGCATCATTTTAGATCTATTCATTTTAGGTCGATCAATTAGAAAGGAGGGCAGTTCTCTCCACAGTGAGGTATACGGCTCAGGTTATGGACTTGGCAATGCGAATGATCATGAAATGACTGAAATGATGGCACTTGCCCTTACAATCTAATTATAATAAATAAGGAGAAGAAAGTATAAGATTCACAGAACTGTAGATGTCAGGTGGTAAATTCTGTTTTGAAGAGGAAAACAGGAAGGTAATTTTATATTTGTTAGGTTTGAGATAATATTTACTACGGAATTTTTCCCTGTCAATAATATGTGACTACCATCTCCATCACTACCTCCACCACCATCATCACCACCTCGACTATCTTTACCTCTCCCACCATCACTTCTATCCCTCCTACCCATCACAATCTTCCTCCATCTTCATCGTCTCTATGGTCTCCACCACCAAACAAGAATCATAACCATTGCATTTATTGAATGTTTACCACCTTAAAGGCAATGTATTAAATGCTTCTCATTTAATCCTCATGACTGGTGTTTTATAAAGTGAGATTACTGGAATCTGAGGCACAGATAACAAGTAATTTGCCTGCGCTCATAAGCTAGTAATTAAAATGGGCAGGTTTCACAAATACCACAGGTTCTCACCTCTAAGTGGGAGCTAAACATTGAGTACACATGGACACAAAGACGGGAACAATAGACACTGGGGTCTAGTTGAGGGTGGAAGGTGGGAGGCGGATGAGGATGGAAAAACTACCTATCAGATATTATGCTGATTACCTGAGAGACAAAATTACCTCTACACCAAACAACCACAACACACAATTTGCCCATGTAACAAACCTGTACATTTACCCCTTGAACTTAAAAGTTGGGGAAAAAACAAAAACAAAAACAAAAACAAAAAAAACAGGCAGCATTCAAACCTGAGTAATTCTGATTCCAAAAGCCATGATTTTTTCAATATTTGATACTTTTCTAGACACACAGGCAATGAATTATAATAACTAAAATATGTGTGCAATGTATAAGTAGGTATGGTTAATTGGAAGGAACAAATGTTTGCATTTGATAAAAATGAACATTGAGGCAGTGGCTGGATGCACAAGTGGAAATAGTTTTAGAGATATAAAGCTTTAATTTGAGGGAGAGTGTCACATCTGGAGCTACATGATTTGGGAGTCAGTCACTTACAGCCAGGCTCGAATCAATGAGAATAGATAATTCAGATAAAGAAGTCAAAAGGCCAGGCACGGTGGCTCATGCTTGTAATCCCAGCACTTTGGGAGGCTGAGGTGGGTGGATCACGAGGTCAGGAGCTCAAGACCAGCCTGGCCACGACGGTGAAACCCTGTCTCTACTAAAAAACACAAAAAAATTAGCAGGGCGTGGTGGCAGGCGCCTGTAATTCCAGCTACTTGGGAGGCTGAGGCAGAGAATTGCTTGAACCCAGGAGGCGGAGGTTGCAGTGAGCTGAGATTGCGCCACTGCACTCCAGCCTGGGTGACAGAGCAAGACATTGTCTCAAAAACCAAAACAAAACAAAGCAAAAACAAACGAAAAAAAAGAAGTCAGAAAGGCAAAGAGATGGATTTAGGTGATACTCCCATAGGAATTAGGCAGAAGGAATAAAACAAGTCAGGCAAAGAGTCGTGGGTGACAACTGGTAGTGTGTCAAAGAAGCTGGAAGAGGAAACGATTTAAATAAAACAATATTCAACAAATGGTCAAGACCTCAATATTCAGTGAAATATTAGTGGGCTTTGCATGATACAAAAACGAGGCACTAGCTAATATAAAGCTTATGGTTATATTTGCATGATGTCTCTTTAATAATTACAATACTTTAACAAGATTCCACCCTGTAGACAATTATCAATTAATGAATTTGTTCCTAAATGTTTGCCTTTTTGCTGTCTTCGCTCAGTCTAAATTTATCAATCAAGTGTCTTATATAGAGTGGTCAGATAATTTTGCTGTCCAAATCAGGACATACTTGAGAGTGAAAGTTGATGCTATATATAATTATGCTGGGATGACAGGTGTAATCTGGGATAGCTTCAGGTAAATCAATAGGAATACCTTACTCATATATCCACGAAAAAGACATTTTACTACACAGTCCAGGTTTTGTAGCTATCTCAGTTCAAATCCTGGCTCAGCCACTCTGTAGCTGTGTATAATTTTATAAAGTTGTAATAGCCATACCTATTTTGGGAGGTTATTGGGAAAAATACACACATTCCCAATAAAGCATTGAATCTACTACTGAGCACATAATAAATCCTCAATTAATGTTAGCTTTTATTTGAAGAATCTTTCTTTATGTTCCCAATAGGACTTCTCATTTAGGCACTTACAAAAATTGCTGAAAACTTATGATACAAACATATGTTGGAGACAAGATATTTCACCACCAGTCACTCTTTCCTGAAAACAAAAAGAAGTCAGAACAAACTTTTTTTTTTTTTCCCAACACAATCCATTCTCCAAACAGAAGCCAATAATAAGCTTCTGAAGACAGAGATTGACATGAATCCGCCTGCTTTGTTAATTTCTGTATTAGACAAGAGGACATTAAGAGAGTTAGGCAACTAGGTGTCCCTATTACTCTGTTTGGAGAACTGTTGGAGGGCTGTTGGAATGTTGCAAAGTATCCATAAATCTATATGTCCACTAAGCATTGTGCATAACACATGTTTAATGTGACAACAAACAAGTTAACGTACATCTTACTAGGAATAACAAAAAGAAAATTCATCAAAAGCTTCACGGATGTGTGCCATTATACTTTTTTACTCCATCAATTTTTGTTAGACTTTCTATTACCACCAAGAGTAGAGGGCTTGGAAGTTCCTGATAGTTGTTGCCCCAGAAAGAATACTAATATTCATAGAGTTTGAGAGCCATTTGACCGGAGCAAGGGTCAACAAACTTTTTCTGTGACAGGATAGATAACAAATATTTTAGGCTTTGTGGACTACACAGTTTTTGTTACAACTATTCACACTCTGCCTTTGTAATGTGAAAGTAATCGTAAATGATAAATCGGTATGACTGTGTTCCACTAAAACATTATTCATAACACCGAAATTTGAATTTTACGTAATTTTGACATGTCATAAAATATTGTTTTTCTTTTATTTTCAACCATTTGAAAATGTAAAAACACGTCTTGACTGATGAGCCATACAAAACTGGCAGCATGCTAGATTTGGTTAGCAGGCCTTAGTTTGCTGACCCCTGGACTAGCAGATTTGCTTAGCCAAGCTGACACAACCAGGGAGAAAAGGCCCAGTGATTTTCTTTGGAATTATCAAAGTAAGTCATAAGTCATTAGTTAATAGAGAAGTACTGAAAGTCCCAAATAATATATTTGAATAACTTTTCTAGATTTTTTTCTTAGAACATCTGACATGGTATTTTTAGATGTGTGTTCTTTTCATACTTCTCTACCCTGGCATACACAAATTCTAATGTCAAGTGTTCCATGAGTTTCTAAACATATGCTGCTTAGAAACATACGGTAGATTTTAATGTTCTTTCTTAATTTTAGAATTACAATAACTGGAATGAAAGGGAAACTGTACCTTTTAAAATAATTTTTCTGCCAGCTTTGCACTCATAAAATTTTATTGCCATCATTTTAATAGATCCGCTGATTTACATAATACCTAACTTATCTAAAATGCATAATTTTGAATATTCACAAAAAGATCAGTTAAAAATTCTAACACCTTCAAGATAAGACTTTAAAAATATCAAAGAACAGGAAATCTGTTCTGTAATTACTCCTATTTAGGATGCGCAGATTGAGACATCATGTTCTCGTAAACTAGCAGGGTGGATCTCATCTATTATAGGTGTACTTCTTGATGAAAATGCACTTTCTGTTACTGGAAAAAAAGACATTTAATGCAAAACTAGGGACTCAACAAGCAGGCCCTTTATAAGAAAAAAAAAAGAAGAAGAAACTTTTAGGATTAAAATGCTACCACAGTAGTTTATCACCTATAGTTTGTACTTTCACTCCGGAAAACACCATTTCCATTAAGCATTTAGTTTATATTGCGATAGTGATTTCTTGGGAAAATTTTAAAGAGTACTTCATAATTTTTCTCACTACATTAACTGACATTACAGGTACCCGAGGCATCTGGAAATATTGCTGAAGTTTAAACACCACCAACAAAACTGCTACAAATGAGTTTTCTCCACTTCATTTGCAGATAAAAGTTTAAGATGCTCTCACCTTTTCCTAATTTCGGAATCCACAGTAATCTGCCTCTTCTTTTGGGGAGGTGGTGGTGGAAGTTCCTCTTGAGCATGCTTTACCAGGATTTGCTCCCTTGTGGTCACCATAGTTACTGTTTCCATTACAGTTGTCTGTGTTAGTGATGGCTGAGTGGTGGTGACAGCCTGTGAAATCTGTGAGAAGTATTGAAACAGAGGTCAGACATTGCTCGAAAGACTTCAGTAAAGACTGCTTGGAGTCGGAAAGGAAAATAATGAGAAACTGTTCTTGCTTGTTGGTAGATTGACCTTCAGATCAAAATAGCACCATATTGAAGCCAAATAAAATTGTTTTATCTGACTTAAGTTAGCTCGACTAAAATAGCAAAGGAAAGTAATCTCAACATCGCAAGTAAATTTAGTGCCCCTTCAATTTATTGGTCAAACTGTAGGAAATAAGGGGTGGGGACAAAGGAGAACAATGTAGTGTGTAATTCATTCTGATAGTTAATTCTACATGCTGCTTTAAATGTTTACATTAATATAAATTTTAGTAACGTACATCAGTGCCAGTTCCATTGCCTGGCACATTTTAAATGCTTATTAAGTTTGTAGAATGCATTTTTGGTTATCATATACATTGATTATTTTATGTTATACATTTTTAAATAAAATTATTTCAACTTGGTAATGAACGACTCTTTAATCAAGTGAAACGACTTTTAAAATTACAATAAAAGATTAACATAAAGTACTTATTAGTCCATACATATCTTTATGTTGAATGTTATTCAAATGCTAAAAAACACACCACTCTTGTTTGATTTAAATTAGTGATTATGTTCAAATATTTGAGTTCCCAAATTCATCATTGGAGACACTTCTTGGTTTACAATCACAATTACTTCCTTTTCATACTTTTGGCAGCAGGCGGGGGAGTGGGCAACAGTTCATTCATCTTTGGAAAAATACATTTTGTGAGCCAAGACATGAGAGGCCATCACCTCAATACATGGGCATTATGAGATAGACAAGTCATATAATGGTGAGACCATTGTTCCTTATCCTCTGTCTCACAGAGCTCTTCTTATCATGATTGTAATGTTACCTCTTGGGATGGTAATCATTACCCTTCTGGTAATCCAACTTACTTGCAAGTTCTATTTCCAAGGAAATCACAAGAGGCCTGCATTGAAACTGCCTTTAGTTACAGTCATAGGAGCAGGGATCTGGCTGGGTCAAGATTCATTTTAGCAATTTTCCTGAATTTGCCAAGAGGTAAGGGAAGGGTTTGTAGTAATCTCCCTGCCTTACACATGAGGACTGATTCCTTTCATGTGAGGAAATGGGAAAAGCCTCAGGATATTCTTATTTCAGCTTCCAAATTGGCAATTAACAGGGAAGGAATAAAATCTTTTCCATGATGTTTTAAGTAAAAATTGCTTTGACATATATAGCTTAAAAAGGCTACCTTTTGTTGAAGACACATCTTTACATGTGTGAGGGCCTGAAGGATTTCCATTTTGGTAGGTTAAAAGGATACTAAGAGTTATAGTTTCTACATTTGCCAAGCACAGGTTTTATCTTTTCTAGGATCTCCATAAATTCACTATTTAGAATCAATCACTGAACCTCAAACAACTTTAATTGTAGTCTATTGACAAGTTATGTCAAGATGAAAGCAGAAAGCAACATAGCTCTAAAAAAAAGGCTTAAAATATAAACTCAAACATGCCACCCAACACAAAATGACCACTACGTGATAAAATTAGATTTCTTGTCAGAAAGAAACTGTAGTTTTTAGCAGGATTCCAAGAGCATTTATTTTTTGAGTATTTTTTTAACCATGAGCAAACTTTCTTTGCCAAGAAAATTTGGTTTTTAGTAGGATCCCTATATAATTGATTTTTTTATTTGAATATTTTTTTTAACTATGAGCAAACTTTCTTTGCATACAGTGGTGGCTAGAAGATAATATTTTGCAGATTAAGAAAAGACCTAATTTTAAACATACAGACCAGAATGCAGACATTCTGAAAATACCAAGCTAATTTATGCAGTTATATCTAATGTTATAGAGCACATCTGCTACTAAATATTTGGGTCTTAATTTCTGTAATATTAATATTTTCTTATTGATATCTACTTTTAAAATTGGATACATGTACCCATGGAGGGTAAAGGGAAATGATAACATGATATACTGTGAAGCTGCATTTAAAAATATACTAAGCCTGATAAGAAAAAAAATGAATCATTTTTAATAAAAGAGTAAGACATGAGTCTGTAATTGTTCTATATAATAATCACTACTACACTGTAATTGAAAAATACTACTTCATTTCCTTTGGGATGGAGAAATAAGAAAACTGCATTCACCCTGTAAATACAAGGTAGAACTCATTACATATAACAAATCAATAATCACTTTCAAAACCTACTTCATATAATCAGAATAAAAAGTCATGTACTAAATTTCCTTACGGCTTTTAGTTATTGACTGTAAACACTTAATTATGTGTTAGAATCATTAGGAAATGTAGACAGGAGAGGGACTATGAAGGCCATTTAACATAACCTCCTGATTATTATAGAACTCACTACTCCCGGAAACAAAGAACTCCTTTCTTGGCATGGAAGCAAACTTTCCCCATTGGGAAAGATCTTCTTAACAACCAGAGGAATCCTGCCTTATTAAGACTTCCTCTTGTTAAAACTTGCTTTGAACTTTGAAGGAAAGCAGAGTAAGTTGAGTATCATTTCTACCTGATAGTCTTAAAGATTTGAAATCTAATAATCATGACCCTGATAAATATCATTTTCAAACTCTATAATGCCATTTATTTGCTAGAAGTAGATCTAATTTGATTCATCATCCAAAACCAATGCTTCTTGGCTTTGGACACCATAGTCAATCAAAGAATTCTAAAACTGTGTAAGTCATTCAGCAGCTGAACCACAAGGTTTCAATAAAATTCTAATGTTTGTTGAATATATAGTCACTATAGGACATTCAGAAATGAGTAAAATAGAAACTCTCTATTTAGGAACCTTATGGTAAAATAAGGAAGATGATAATCACACAAATAATTGTGAAGATGAATGCCATTTGAAAAATACTAGTATACAAAATAATCACATACACCAAACATACAGTAATCAAGTAATTTTCTCTTTAAATGTTACGAAAACAGATTTCTCTCAGCTAGCATTTTAACATTTAAATTTAATTTGATGCTGAAGGCTAGATATAACATTTATCCTTGTTTATAGGGTCTTTATAACAGTTAATTTTGGAAACAACCTAATGTTACAGATGATAGTTTAAGTAAACTCTGGTATATGAATGTGGATGGAGTATTATATATCAAATATTCTAATGTCATTGGAAAATGTTTGCTTTATAGTATTGAATAAACAATGCTAGACATAAACATTGTTTTTTTTTGACAAAGTAGAGATAATTTCTGTTGTACAGTGTATATTTCTGTATTCCTTTAGTTCCCAAATTTCTACTATAAGATATTATCCGCAAAATGTTGCTTTTGTAAGCAAAGAAAAATTTTTAAAGTTTTGCCAAACTGTTGTTTTAAATCTACCATTTCTATTTATATGTCAAGATCTACGGAATTATACTCCTGTCACTCAATGCACAAGAAAGAGGAAAACTGCAAGCATGGTAAGAATAATTTAGTGCCTACACTAAATTGTTTAATATGGCAGAGTCAAAACTAGAGTAGACTATATTTTAACCTATATTCAACAATTTTTTTATTTAGCTAACTATACTATCACCCAGTCACCTTTCTCCATTTTGGTTATGAGTCTATTTAAGACTCTCAAATGAGATCATGAAAATAAAATATATTTCCTTTTAAAGTACTATTCATTTGATCTGTAAGTTAATTTGCCTAGTAAAAATGGGAAATAGTTTAGAATTACTTGTCTTTACATTTGGGAGCTGATTCCTCTTAGAGTGATTATAAGTAGAGGCCTTGGAGTCAAGCTCCACAGTTATTCAACACCAGATCCATAGTTTATATACTGTGACATTTGGGGCTGGTTGGTTCTTTTCTCAAATCTGTGCATCATTTTCTTCATATTTAAAGTAGGGATAACACATTTCTTCACAGGTATGTTACAAGCAAGGACAGCTTCATGGGCTGGTAATTTATGCAGTTGCCCAGGGCCCCTGCTCAGAAGACTTCCATGCTTGTTTTCAAGCTCTGCTTCCACTGTCTTGAAATTCTTAGGTTTTGAACAGGAAGCCCTTGTTTTCAGTTTGCACTGGGCCCACAAATTATGTAGCCAGTCCTGGTTCCGAGAATTAAATCATGTAATATCTGAGAAAAATAAGTGCTCTATAATGGTAAATATCAGTAGTAACCACTATCTTTTCTTTTATTATTATTATTATTATTATTATTATTATTATACTTTAAGTTCTAGGGTACATGTGCATAATGTGCAGGTTTGTTACATATGTATACTTGTGCCATGTTGCTGTGCTGCACCCATCGACTCGTCAGCACCCATCAACTCCTCATTTACATCAGGTATCTTTTCTAAACTCTCAGGGAAATATGAAGAATTTTTCTATAGTCAACCTTGTCACTCATAAGATTACATATGTTAAAAAAAATTAAACGTTTAAATTTACATTTTCTCATTCTGAGAAAAATCGGAAGAGCATGTGCCAGCCTCCTGATATTATTCCAGGGTGTGTCTCTTCTTGCAGTAAGATTGTGTTATTTTGGTAGGCCTGGAAAAAACAAACTATGCTCAAGCAATGAAATTCTTTCTTTCCATGTTCTCTTCCACTTGTTTAAAAAATGCACATTAAAAAAAAAGAAATGTAAGCACAACTAAGCAAATTTAAAGAATATAAAAGGACATACAATGAAATAAAATACTTTTTTTCTACCACTGTCTCCAGTTTGTTAGGAATTACTACAAGTCATGTATAACTTAACGAATGGGACTCATTCTGAGAAATTCATCCTTAGACAATTTTGTCCTTGTACAAACACCATGGAGTGTACTTACACAAACCTAGACAGTATAGACTACCATACAGCCAACCTATGTGGTACAGCTTATTACTCCTAGCTACAAACCTATACAGCATGTGACTACACTAAATAGTGTAGGCACAATGGTAAGTATTTGTGTATCCAAACATCTCTAAAGGTACA